GTAACAGGAGGAGAGAAGCTGCAGAGAGGCGTGTAAGACTGCAACTGAAGCTGAATTGAATTGACTTGGATGAGCAGTGTCAGAGCCCTACAAAATGACCTTCAGCAGGCCATTGATGTAAATGTCTCTGACCAAATAGTCAGAAACAGACTTCATCAAGGTTGCCTGAGGGCTCGATGTCCTCCACCGGGCTTTGTGTTCGCTGCCTGGCACAACCTATTGTCAGAACCTATCATGGTGCAGTGGGTCCTTGGCTCCTGCTGGTGCATGACAATGCCCGTCTTCACATGGCAAAAGTATGCAGGCAGGTCCTGGAGTATTAAGGAAGTGATACCATTGAGTCACCCTCATGCTTACCTGACCTAAATCCAGTAGAACACCTCTGGGACATTATGTTTTGGTCCATTTGCTGCACCCAGGCCACGCCTCAGATTTTCCAGGAGCTCAGCGATACTCTGGTTCAGGTCTGGGGGAGATCGTCTCACATTAGAAAGAAAGAGAGTGTACTTTATTGATCCCCGTGGAGAAATTCCTCTCTGCATTTAACCCAATCACTCAGTGAAGCGGTGGGCAGCCATTGGACGTCCGGGGAGCAGTGTGCAAGTACGGTACCTTGCTCAGGGGTACCTCAGGGTAGCTGTTCAGGGGAATCGAACCCCCGACCTTTCGATCATGGGGCCACCACTCTACCTACTGAGCTATCCCTGCCCACATTAGGAGCATGCCCCGACATTGGCAGGCATGTATACCAGCACATGGGGTCTGCACAAACTACTGAGTACTATTTTGAGTTGCTGCAGTTAAATTTTGGCCAAAATAAATAGCCTTCCACATCATTTTTTCCACTTTCACACAATTTTCAGCGCATCTCTTAATTCAGCCCTCTGTAGGTTGATCATTTTCATTTCCATCAAACGATGTGGCATCCTTTTGTATCTAACATATTACCCAGTCAGTGAAATTAATGATATATATTTTAGACATTTTTCCCATTGAGATCTGATGTGCCATTCTTGCAACAAGCATGTATACTACGATTTTGAACCTCACCCTAAACCCTACACAACAAATGCAAAACTCTACCGTCCTGTGGCTCATATTAAGTCCTATTAAGAAATAAGCATTACTTAGTTTAATGCTTATTTCTGTCTTCGGTCTTTTCTTAACTACTTTTAATCATTTTTAAAAATTTTCACTGTTTTATCCTGTATTTTTCTTTTATGCTTTTATATGCATTTCTTTTGCTACTGTGTTTTAATGCCATTTAACATGCTACCATGTTGGTACTTCATCCGCCCTGTTACTTCATCTTACTCTGTTGTATGTTAAGCACTTTGGTACACCACTGGTTTTTAAATGTGCTATATAAATAAAGTTTTTTTTTGTTGTTGTTGTTATGAAAGTCTTGTTTGTTTGTTTCTGAGAACCTTTTGTTTGCTATTTTGGCTGTGCGCACCGTGACATTATCTACCTGAAAAGGGTCTAAAGCTGTGCTTAAGGCTGATCCTGTTGGAAACAGGGGAGTCACTTTTATGTCAGGCTCTGATTTCCCCTAAACTGGGAGTTAGGACTTTGTAGCCACTAACATCTTGCATGTATTTAAAGATTTGCGTAGACATTTACAAGTCTGATTACAGAACTTGTAAATGTTCTGTAATCAGAACATTTACTCTGTGTATATAGATCTGTGTATATAGATCTCTCAGATCTATATACACAGAGAGAGATTGAGAAACACAGACACAATACAGCTCCATAATAGAAGGCTTTTATTACCTGAGAGTCCACATAGATAAACAGCTGATATGTAGGCTTATCACAACACCTGCTGTTGTTAAAAACACCCAGCAGTACCTGTATGGCCTAAAGGACTGCCATCCTTTCCACTGAGAGCCTTCCGAAAGGTTGCTTTACCACCTGGTGCGAAAACTGCACAAGAAAGGACTGTATGACTGTTAAAAGATTGGTGTGCATGGGTCAGCACCTTAGTGGTTTTAAGCTACCCTGCCTACATAAACTAAACTCACAGTGGTGATTCAGACAGGTCCTGATAGTTTGCACAATACCCACTGAATTCACACAACAGCCTTTTATCATTGATGCCCTTTGGTTTAATAGGAATTCACAATTGACACTCCAGCTGACGAGCCAAAAGAACTACAAAAAAAAATCGTAGGTTTTTTGGCTACGAAAAACCTACCAACTGTACACTGCTGTCTACTGCTTTACATATTTTCCTTTGATTGACATTGTTTCATTTTTTTCATTAAAATAATAAACTAGTATTATTTATTTATTCATTTTAAACAATTTTAAATACACACACCTTACTCTCGTTCTCTTTTCTTTTCTTACTTCAATTTATAGTCATTGATTCACCATAATTCCAGTGTTTTTCATTGCAAACATCCCCATCTATAAGTACTTCAGTTTTAATAAGAAGAATGACATTGGCTCTTCTGTTCCTAGTAAAAATAAATTTGGTAATCATCTGCTAAAGGTTTTTCTGTTCCTGTGTTTTCATGGCAGTATTATTTAACACAGCATTTTCACCTTCTCCAGTTTGCTCTCATTTTTGTTGAGCTTTCTTATTGGATACTGGCATGCTCCTAATAATCCATTTCCCCTTCTTCTGTGACCATCAGTCATTTCCTTCTCCCTCATCTCCTTTACTGATTTTGCTAAGACGCTGGAAACAGTGGACTGTGGAAGCAAGAAAAAAGCTGGCCATGATGGCAGCCACAGAAACACAGATGCCAGAAAAGATGACAATGAGGTAGTCAGCGAGGGTGAGAATCCTATGGCACGGTCTGAAACTGTCTTCAGAAAGTAAACTCAGTGGTACCCGACGTCCATCCAGAGGCAGGGTGCAATCTATCCCTTCCAAACCTGAAAAAAAAAAAACCAAAACAAGTCAACCAGCTGACAGACAGACACTGAATTTTCTCAAAGTCAGCCAACAGCAGCTTGCCTTAACTATAAGGCTAAGTGGGTGTACAGACCAATGATGGTATTAAACCACGCCCACAATGTTGTACATGACCTAACACCTGAAATAGCTGACTGGTTATTTTAAAAGATATGTATGAAGTAATTGCATTCATGATTCACTTTAGTTTTATCAATATAGTGACAATTCACCAAATTTATCTCAGGACAATTTTGGAGGTCAATAAATGTTTAGTGTATGTTATTATATCATTATGTGATATTATATGAATTTTTCAGTTATTTAAGGGGTTCAACCAGACTATTGCATTAACTGTTTGGGAATTACAGCCATTTTTATACACAGTCCCCTATTTGCAGACCCTCAAAATTTTAAACATTAAGAGATGGTTTAGGTGACCCACTGAATTGGGGTGGAGAGTTTACTATTCTGCCATTGTGCTAGGTCTACACACTTTTTAGCATCACAAGGGCTGTCAAAAAGAAAGAAGGAATGGGCTAGTGCT